GAGCAAACTTTACCTTTTTCGTTTATACGCATTTTCTAAATACTCTATAAACATAATATCTATTTCATATTCTTATTCTAATATATTCTAATCATATATAGCTAACAAAATCAATCAAACTCTTTATGAAGCATTGTCAAAACACATGTTTCTACAAATAATCATTCAGTCAGAGTCTCAGCTACTGACAAAAGATGTATACAACGTGACTGTAAATCTCGGATGTAGAAACAGTACGCGCGGTTTATATTCAAGTCGAGACCCAAAAATCAGTCAACAACGCAAACTAATCCATCGTCAGATGGTAAGAGAAGGAAATCAGCCGTTTGCAAGCCTCGCAGGCTTAAGGATCGCATCTAGGGTTAAGGAGCTTGCTCCGGAGTCTGAGAGCCAAGGAGGGTGCGGTCGCTTGCAGCGTGATCCTACCTAAGCCGAGGCTAAGAGGCTATTAGTTAGCTCTGCTAGCTGCGACATAACCCGTAAGACTAACATGGTACTTACACCTGCCTCGTCGGGATAGCAGGATATTCAACCAGCCACCTCTTTGCGCGTGTTTGCACGGCGGTTGTCTACGCTGATGGTGACTCCTGAACACGATTAATAGCAAGGAATGAATATCAAACAAACTAACCGCATCGCTCCACTTTCACGTTCCATCCGGTGCATGAAATTCCATTTAAATGGGGGTAACAAAATATACAATGTAAATAACAAATGCATGCTGACTGCACAATTTATATAAAGTAGAATTTAGAAATAGATAGAAGATATATGGGGGGGGGGGAGAGAGAGAGAGGAATAATGCATATAACAGTAATATTAAAGGATAACATATGTAAAATGAAATTTATGACCGTGATATGTGCAAATATAAATACGCATAATTTTATTATCCATGTAACGTCACATTTGCGAGAGTTACATTTTCGTTAAAATATGTAATTACTCTTAATACTCTATAATATTCCGGAAACCTTTCACAAAATTTTTTCAAAAAATATGTAGTCGGTTTCTCAATTTTTGTAAGACTAACAGTTTTGTACTTTATATGATCAATGTTACTTAATTATATTTATAATTATTTGTACTTTTTCTGAGAAAGAGAGAGAGAGAGAGAAAAAAAATGGAATAAAAAAATTCACCATAATGGCATGCTGGAATATTCCGTATGCATAATTTATTTAGCGACGCCTAATGAGGAATACATTATTATAGACATCTTCATTAAACTGATGGCAGCTTTGCCAGCGACCAAACATATTTTTCGATGGGGGTGGCTGACGAAAAATGTGAAGTTTTTCGCCATGGCTGAAAATGCGCGTGTATATTTTGCAAACTCGATCCCCCGTTTCGTCAAAGTAAAACTCAAATGGTGCGAAATAAAGGGAGGAAATAGGTCGCTTTCATGCAGGCGCAAATGGGTGCGTATTAATTAAATTAATGGGTAGCTGGTGGCAATGGCGAGTCATTGAAGATATTGCAGTCATAGACTGTGCAAAACGGTACGGTGCTATACGAAAAGTCACATATATGTAACCTTTCGTTATTGTACTTTATTGTTCGAGCTTTTTTCTGTCCGCCGTTTCGGAGAGGCGCATGGTGTTATTTCTCTTAATGTGAATCATATATCGTAATTAAATTGGAAAATCGTCGGATATACCTAATGCTATCACTGTTAAATTATTCGGTAAAAGGGAATAGAGCGAGAATAATGAAAATATTTGTTTGTATCGAAAATAATAACAATAAAATATTTTAATTTGTAATTTTTTGAAAATTGTTTTCATATTTTATATTATATTTAAAATATTTTACACATTTTATATTATAAAAAGTTGTCGCGTGAATACAACATATGGTCAATAATGTTATCGTTTATTTAATTTGCAGACTTGCTAATAATCACATTGACTTTCGCGCGATAAAACAAACATAAACGACACGTATCACGTCGGTCGATTGTTCGCGCGTATGACGATAAATTTTTGTGTAGCGCATGTTCTTGAAAGTATTTTCCGGGACATGTTTAACAAAAATGCAAGCAAATTATGATAGGCCCGATAACAGGCGCGCACGAAGTACGTTAAATTTTGAAATAAGTATGATCGTAAAAGTCGCTAACTGTGAGTCGATTTCGATGCGAAGGGTGGTGGCGGCGACGAAACTGGCACTAAATATGAATCATAAAAGGAGTATAAAGATAATTGTATGCTAATAGGGCGAGCGTATGCACCGCGTCGACCACAATGGCTCGCATTATTACCTATGTATTTTTATGGTGTATACTTATGTACTCTCGCATAATCGCAACACAACGTTGACATTGGTCAATTTCATGTGATCAACTTTGCCGCAACTATCTATTATATATAGTGCCCGGAAATTACATATATTACTTAACTAAAGATTCTCGGCCGCCGTTCGTCAATGCTTGTGACGTTAATTATTTACTATTTATCTTTGTAGTTTTACGGTGAGGAGGACTTAAACGCCCGAAATTTAAAATCGAGAATACAATTGATACATACTTAAATCCTCTTCCATTTCTTGTCAAAATTTTTGCCCAGAGTTTTAAAGTTTTATTGCATAGGCATAAATATCGAAATTATGTTCAAATAAAGAATTCTTTGATTTTCTAATTAAAAGAATTTTTTTTAAACATTCGCGCGTAAGTTTATTACATATTCAAAGGCTCCCTTTTCTTTCTTCTTCCGTTTAGTGTGCATTTTTCTTTGAATTTTTGATAGGATACAGGCAGCGAAGAACTAATATACAGAGGCAATTTTTACGATGTAATATCGCAGACGTTCTGTACGTCATAATAATGCTTCGTCCCGTCTGTAATACTTTAGAGAAGCATGGCAGGATCTCTTTGAAGCTCGCAAAACTTTAAATCTTTAAACAGTGTACGCGAACTCATTAAAAGTTCTTTCACAGAAAGGATAAAACGGGATGTATTGACGAAGTTGGGGTTCAGGAATACACCGAGTTTGCGATGCGAACATCGGGTGCTAGTTTGCGGCCAATTCGCTTTATCCATTACAATGCAAGTAAAATAAGAGCTTGACAGGCAATACCGGAAGATAATCCGCGGAAGAGAAGAATTTTGTATTAAAATCGCGATTACGATCTTTCTTGGATTAATTTAAAAATACCACGTATCGCGTATATAAAAATAACGAAATTTTAATAGCAAATGCCGCTCCGAGGTTTCTCCCTGATGAAAATAGTCTCTTCGATTTTTTTTGTTAGAGATTCTCTTTCCGAATTAAATATCAAAACATATTTTATTTGTTGTACGATCGGGGAAAAGTTTTTTTTGTCGTCGATCCTGATTCTACGGAAACGCGAAACTAGAAGCATGACTCCAGAAGCACACGAAACTGCGTTCTCGAAACTTTTAAAACCGTCCAATGGAAATAAAGCAGTCGTTAGAACTTCTCGGGATGCACTTGACCGGTCGGTGGTGGATGGATTCGCGGGCCGGTCGAATTTATTATTTGAAAGAAAATCGACGCCGCTTTTGCGCCCCTCGAGACCATCGGCGCCGAGGAGCGCAGCGGAGCGAGGCGAGGAAAATAAGACTGCAATGGGAATAGCTTTTCACGAGGTCGTGAATCGGCAACGGCGAGGAGGATCTCCTTGACCGTTTGCTACCTCTCAAAGTCGATCGTCCCCGAGAGCTTTTACGGGTTTTGACGAGAAAGCGCCGTCACGATGTGTAAACCATGAGCCCCTTCGACGATTCTTCGAATCTCACCCTCTCTCGGAAGAAACGGAACCGAAGAGACGGAGACGGGATTCGACTGTGAGAAGCGAATCCTTTTTACGAGCACGGATACATATGCCGAGAGCGACGACGAGAGCTCGGTGTCCCCAGATTCTCTGCGTCTCGCTGCAATTTCATTGGAGAATCACGAATTTCGAGGCAAGCAGCGAGACGCCTTCCGATTTTCCGAAAACCGCGCACGAGAGCGACTTTTGCTTCCCCCGAGTATTGCCATTTTGCCCATATCATTCCTAATGTAAAGCATTGTAATCTAAATATGGATAAGGCTAGACGCGTGCGGGCTATATCATGATACCAAAGTAAATATGTAATACACGTATATATGCTTTTTTGAGATTACGCGTACTTTTGCAAATATTGACGCAAATATTGATCGGAAATTTGCAAATTCGAAATCGAAAAGTCGAATATAATTTACAAAATTATATATATATATATACAATATATAGTATATATACAATATAATTTACAAAATATATATACAATATATATATTTGTAAATATAGAGTATATATACAATATAATTGACAAAACGGATAGAATGCATGCTTTCCTTTCTCGATATTATTGTGCAAAACTTTGGAAATCTCTTTAAAATAGTATAAAATAGTATTAAAATAGTATTAAACAAATTATGATACGATATTTCTGAAAATAGATGTAGAATTAATATCGACAATTTTATTCTCTTTTAATGTAGAATCAAATTATTCCAATATTCAATTGGCTATTAGTACGTACAAAATTAATTTAATTTATTAATGCCTTTCTAGTAGTCTCTAAAAGATCTTGATATTAATGAAGGTAGTCCATCAGTTCTCGCATCAATAATTCTTCACAAAGTATCTCATTTTCTTCTTAAGGCAATTATTCGTTCCCCTCTAACTATCTTTCGATAGGCACTCACGCAGACCGCCGAGCACTTTCATATAGAGCACACAATGTATGCGCGGAAGATCGATTTAGAAGATCGAACATGATATACCCAGTAATTTTCGATCGAGCACAATTTCGACCAAAGTCATTATTGCTTTCGATGGTCAAGAGACGATTTTCATCGGGGACGATTCCGTGTATTTCAGTCAATCGCCGTGAGCTGAACCGTGAGTGAGTATAATCAGAAACGAGAGTAACGATAGGATGGACAAGTTTAACGCGCAGCTCGTTTGATGGTAGTATGTAAGAGATAATTGATGACGTTATCGATTCATTGCTGCCTCTCTGTTACCCAACGACAAATATTGACAGCTTCCAATCACAAAGCGGCAAGCAGTATCCTTTGTTGTACGCGCCCCACGCAGCACTGCTTGATGCCTGCTCAGTTTTTGTATCGAGCCATCGAACTCGTGGGTGAATCAACGTCCGCGTTCGACGTGTATGTCGACTTTCCTAAATTAAAGCATCCGTTCGCATAAAGTGGACGTGAATTCACCCCCTTCTCTCTCTCTATCGACTTTTTGATACAAAAGATACTTTTGTTCGATGCTTGTTTTATAGTCTAGTTTTTCACGTTTTATTTGCAATTTAAAACGACCGATGAATTTAGGTCGATAAATCGTCGACTGAAAGAGCAAAATATCTATTCAAAAAAGAACTTGCGAGATCGGTAAGGAATTGACACAAAACCGCGAAATTATTCGGTCGCGACAATTTCGGGTACGATAGACGCATCAAAGAGACCATACAGTGATTTCGGAACGCGTTGTAAGTTGCCTCCTCGCTGCGATCAAAGAGCTTTGCCTTCTCGTTGAAGGAATGAGAGTCCGGTGAACATAGTTCCGGAGAACATAGTTTCGCAAAGGTCTGTGTCTGCATTGTTCGTTTTCGGCCAGTCCGTGGACCGTTTGTGTGTCGAGCTTGCGATAGATTCATAGAACGTACTCTTCGTGCACTTTACCGAGCGAAAATAATTCATGTAATCATCGCTATATAAAAAATATATAATACAAGATTTCGCAAGAGTATGGAAGGATAGTAAATGAATACGAATGTATTAGCAAAATTGTATCTAGCACTTATTAAAATTTTTCGCTATTAAATTAAACATAATTTCCGATTAAATTAAATATATATAATTTACATTTACATATATTTTTCCTAATTTTCTCGTACACGCATTTGAATTGGCTAAATGTAATAAATTCGTGATCACTGACTCTCATCATCAGTCGATGCAATTTATCGACAGAGATACACGATTGAGATGCCGGGATTGTTACTATTCAATTGCCGAACCAATCGTTGTACCTTTAAAAGTTAAACCTATACATTTTTATATCAGTTTTTCTATATCAGTCATGTTATTTCGCTCGTTCGCTATATCTTCGCAGACCTGGACCCAAGTGTACGGTTGCAAAGGCAATTGCCCCTCAAAGGGAATGTTCGTTCCTGCAAACCGGTTAGTAACAAGTTCCGCAAAATTCAATTAGGTGATCTACGCCCGCAGCGAATCATCTGCTCGTTCCTAACGAGACTCGGGACGTTAATGTTCTTCTGATCCGCGTAATCGTTCGATCTAGAAGTTGCCGCTCCCCACCGACGCCGGCTCATGTTGTGCTGATAGCGGCAGTTTAGAAGTTTCGCGACGGCGGCCGGGCTTTTCAGGCGAACTCCTTCATCTCGGATTCGAGTTTGTTGATCACCCATTCCAACCCTTGTCGACCCTCAAACGTAAGGAAAAAAGATTACGCGAAAATCCGAAAGCGCGTCATCGAATCACCAAGATGCCATTGACGGGCTGTCATTCATAAACTTTTATAGAATACGCGAACGCATCGTCTTTTTATGAGATATTTTTTTATGACACACCTTGATACTGCCCGTCGAATTGAAAACGTATATAATGCAAAAATTTCTTTACATTTTTCTATATTCCTCGAATTTATGTATCATTTCCTTTTCAATCAAAAAACAAGTATTTTAATTCATTACAAATTCAAAATAAAAAATGTCATTTTTGATATTGACGAGATATTTGAATAGGATATTACTTACTTTGCTCGCATTGAAAGAAATTTTCGAGGCTAAGAGATCCTCCATGTAATTGGTTAATGGTACCCCTCGGACGGTGACTACCGCTTCTTGCGTGAGTAGCGTCTTGCCGGGGTCAGTCGGATGGGGTGTATATCTGACAGCTTCATCTACAGCAATATAATTGCCGAAAGTTAACTGTAAAAAGCAATAATAATTGATCCGATCAGTGGAAATGTTGAGCAACATTTTATGCATAATTATTAAATAAGAATACTGAACAGAATTTTTTATTTGGTAAATAAAAATAACTTAACTGCATCGAATATTTAAAGTATCTTTCAAGTATCAGTTATAAATCTTCTGATATTGGAATATCAAAATCTTCTGACCTTAGTAAAACACATAATACGCGTTATAAAAAGTTTATGTGTGTGTTATTATATAAAAGATATCAGCATCATGTTATTACTAGTTCGCGATATACTTGTGTCACGAAGTTTTTAAAATTTTTTACGATTAAGTTTGCGGGCGAGACCCGAGTTTCGGTCATTTATATCGATCATTGTTGTTATAACTCGTGGGGTTAGCAACCCTCGTGGTAGATGGGCAGCCGGAACTATCGGGATGGAACATTTCCACGAAAGTGACGTAGACCTTTGAATAATCGATGCTACGAAACAGGCTTGCAAACGAGTTAGCAGTGGCTCCCGTCACAGAGTAAAAAGCACATTCAGCGCTTCCACTTTCGCGCCTTGCATTGTGCATCTTTCTTTTTTTCATTTTATTTCGAGTGCATTATTTGATGTAATTTCCCGAGTTACTTTTAAAATTATTAACCTCTTTTCTCTCGTGCGCAAATGACTCGGATATTAATAAGAGAGAATTAACTATATAAACTGACTTCGACAGAAATGTCTGTTATGATGCAATATTTTAGTCAAGCTTAAACGGATAGAATTACTTTTCATGTTTCAATGTGATTTTTTTACCATAAATATCACACATTGCTTGACTGAATTGCATATGAAACATCGTAAATCCGCGCTCTCTTTATACCGCGCAATTTGAAGGTGATACTTGCGCAGCGTTTGTGGTATCGCGCTGCAGCGAAAAGTGTCGAGTTGACGAAGGGCTCACGATAATGCAACCTTGCATTGAATGACCACGGTACATCATAATTTCAATATACATTCAACAGTGCGCGTACGCTACAAACCATGTAGATATGCAGATGCAACGTATATGGTATGCCGCAACTAATTGAATATGTAGAAGAGCGTGGAGCGTGTAACAAAACCCGGAGAGAGTGGAAGACCATCTCGAATTCATTACAGTGCGCCAGTGCGTAAACACGCGACGCGAAAACGACAAACTGCATTCTGTGCAGCTCGCTTTTGTAGCATACCGTTGATAGACGAAGTCCTGTGTTGGAGATCGCGGCCCAGAATACATCGCGTTGTCATCGCGCGCGGATTTGTTTCCTGCAGCGCGGAAAAACAATCACGCGCGCCGAAAGTAAAGGACGTGGGAAAAGGGGTTGAAAACTAATATGGCAACCGAGCGCCTGGAGCCTCGTTACCTCCCCGAGGCCTAAAGTTTAATCTATGTCGCTGTCATAATATTTGTTCTAGCTGAAACGTATTCGCTGTTGGTATCATAAAGTCTGCAAATTTGCGGCGGGAAAATTGGCCGATCTCTCGTATGCATCTCACAACGCGAGTCTAGCTTCGGGCGCTGTTCGATTCGAAAATTGCAGAAATTGCTCGGCGAAATCGATTGTGTTTGCCATTTCTGGGAAATCAGTCGTACAATCAGTCGTACGATTTCTAAAAAAAAAAAAAACTCGAAGGCTAGGTCGTGATTTCTAAAATCCGTATCGCCGCTTTACGCGCTCGGCCTCGTAAAACATGGACGCGAGATTAGTAGAGAACCGCATCATCATTATGAGTCCCGAGGACGAGCCATGGCAGCGTAGCGCGGAACAATTGAATCGCAGGGACGAAATACGTTTCACGAGGAAATTAACGCCCGTGGCACATTGTGGGTCCGCGACCATCGCGGATATATAGAACGGTACGGCGTGCGGTGTTCTGTGCACTCTGCCATATTGGCAATCAGTGAAGCCGACTGTGTTACGTCATGGCCAACTCACCATCCAACTCGCTTCGCGGTACAACGGTTTCCAAAGCATAGAGATTCACGTGGACGTGAAGAAAGAAACGAAAAATTAACATTACGTGCGTTTCATGAAACTCACGGTCGGCGTGTCAGGAACAAAGATGTCGATTAAACCCGTAGAAATGAAACGCCACGAAATACACGATCGCTGGCTACGTTCACGTAGACCATTGCGTAGGATTATGTCGACGTTAGGAGTTGATGAGGATGTACGAATTATGTTTGATTCGGAATTTTACATTTGGCCGTGCGAAGCTCGTTTCGCTCTTGTGATTCGCAAAATAACTGCGAAACTTGCAGAATCGTCAAGAGACAGTAAAATCTCGTAATTATAAAATACTGAGATATAAGTTTTATTTTTACGATGTTACACATTTAGAGAACATTGAAATATGAGGATGGTAGAATATAAAGACAAAATGCGGTAACCAGCGAAAAATGAAAAGAGTATTAAGTTCCGCTGCTCTCGAGTAATGTATTCTCCTCAGAATTTCCGGACCTATTCCGAGTATATACTAAGTATACGGTCGTGGAAATGCAAAGAAAGGCGAGGTTCGTAACAAAATTGAAGGACTGCTACTGAAGTACACGGCTGGTTATCTAAATAAGATACTGTTATTGCAGCTTTCATTGCAATCACGAGTTCGCCGATGCGAAGCAGTATTGTTACTATAGTGTTGCGGTCTGTATTTAATTTTCTACCACAGCAAGAATATGATCTTAACGGATCGAGTCTTATTATCTTTCGATTAATATCATGCATTTTTTTATCCCGGATATTAATATAATTGTTTCATTTAATTAAATAAAACTGTTTTTCGAAAATCACTAATAATCATGGAAATTATTGTTATTTCAAATGCTCAATTAAACGTTTAAAGCTGTGAAAAGACCATCCCATTCTCTAAAAAAATATCTAATAATATCCAATAGCTTCATTACATGAAAGAAGAATGGATAACGGCAAGAGAAGAACAAATGAAAAAAGGTATAATTGACAAGACGAGAGATTTAAATTGTCATGTCTGTGACAAAGTGCAATCGTACTTGTGTTAAAGTAAATTTTTCAACCGCGGCGTGAAAAACGCTTCGCTTAATACCGAGCAGGATTACAACAATCCAGTGTTGCATCAAAGAGCAGTCGTCTTCCTCTCTCTCTTTTGACTCTTGTTTCAATCCCGCTTTTTTTATCCCAACTAACTGTGCAAAATAAAAATAGCTCCAACTTTTGATTTTCGAAATTTCCCGGTGAATGTGACGTATAAATAGACACGAAAGCAAGTGATTTTTTTTACGTGGATTGAAGATTGTAAGCCTTTAAGCGCGCATTTGCATTGTCATAGCTGCGAGATTTTTTCGCGAAAATAAACGAATAATAAAGTAACGAATAATCTGAAAACGTACAATTTTCGGTTTTATTTCATGTTTTTTTTTCACGAGGATTAGGATCGATTTTTAGAAAAAAAGAATCGTATCGTCAAATGTCCATTAGTGGCGATTATGTTATATTATTCCGCAAAAAACAAAAAAATAAAAATAGAAATAGAAAAGACAAGCAATTTCGCTTTTAATGAATCGATAATTTAAATCGTATTTTTCACATCAATTTCTCCACTTAACTTAAAATCACATCAATTTCTCTACTTAACGCATATTTTATTGACGATGACAATTCCTAAATGAATCCTCATGAAACAATCGTCACGTCAATATTAATTCTTTTTCCACGAATATTCACAGAGATTAACTCATAATCCTTCTCTCATGTTCTTCGAAACAACGAACGTCATAATCTTTCTCATCGTCGACGTCTCGTCTCAGCGTAAGCATCGCGAAGAGAAAGAAATAATAAGCGAAGGAAACAAAACGACAAAAAATGAACGAGATTTAATCGTATCAAGTGAACAATCGATCGTCCCGTCAACTGCGAATCTGTCGTTGACGCCGAAAGTAATTAATTTCAGCCTCTTTTCCCAGCGTGACCGCGAGGTGCGGTGGGGCATCGTCGGGTTGGCAGGACGATGCGCGATGCTACGGGTGCATCGGTTAATTGAAAATTTTTCTCGTCGGTCGCGCGCGTCGAAACTCATGTTTGCCAATCTCTCTCTCTACACCAAAACCCCCCTCGTTTACTTTCCATTTATCGGTGAACGAAATGCGACCGCGCCCGGTGACGCATCAACCGGGAAACGAGATATCTCGACTTCTGAGTAGCCACCTTGAAAGCGTCGTATCGATTTGCAGAGATACTTAACAAAAGAGCGAGTGTTTTATACACTAAAGATACTTAATAATCTTATTTTACAAGCTGGATTAGCGACGAAGAAATAAGCATAGAGACAATAATAAAATAAGCAAAGAGATCATTGTTTGCTGACTGCTGATGTGTAAGTTTTTCATTTTATTTCATGACACGCGTTCGAGGACACGCTATTATCAAGTCGCTGGTGTACAGAATAGATATTAATAGAAGTAATCTTTCAAATCTCCAAGTTTTCGATGCGTATATATCAATCTTCTCGCGATAGGGAGAAATGTTGACTCAAACTTTGCTAATTAAAATCACGTTATACGAAGAAGGAGTTCCCCTGATGATTGTAGGCATAGCACCCGCGTCCCCCTTGGAGAATTCCCACGATTCCGTTTCGCTCTTTGATATTACGAATGGAGAATGGAAGACTGCGGAGGGAGAACCGTTGTGTGCGGAGTGGAGGCTCTCCTTGAGCGTGTACTCGCGAGTAATTAGCATCGCCGCATAATTGAGAGGACTTTGCGGATTTGGCTGCGCAGGCTGCATTGTTCGAGCCCGGTGGGCTCGCAATTCGCCCATACCACCCCGATGCCTCGAGAGGGTTTCGCGGCCGGAAGCCCAAATCTGCAGGCATACAACTCTGGAAGCTGGATCGACCCCGATGCAGCTCGGACGCTTCCTCCGCGCGCGCTAATCGCCGATTTCAGCGGATTTCGACGTTGCTGACAAATCGGGATTAGATTGTGTAACCGACAACTTGCAGCAA